ACTTATCAGTAATATCGGAGAAATGCTTCTCTCTCTCTCTATCTATCTATCTATCTCTCTATATCTATTTCTCTTTCATTTCCTTGACGATCTCTATTTTTACACTAGTACTCTTAACGCCATTGCTTATCTATGGATCTTCCGCCTAGCAGGATATTCTCTGTCTTTCTCTCAGCGCAAACATAATAAAAGCTTCTCGTAAATCCGGTGTCCGAGAGATCGATACAGTGCCCGTTTATACGAGCTCATCAAATTTGAGATCGTAGATCCGTAAACTTGGTTTCCCTGCACGACGCAGCATCTGAGATATCGTATCGAGAGAGAAAGAGTCACAAAGCCTTTAATAAATTTTAAATCAATTTCTGCTTAACAAATTTCACAGAAGATCAGAAACTCTCGGTCTTTTAATTTTTTACTGGTACATCTTGATAATTTAATCTGTAATTGTTCCATTCGTGTAAAATGGATTTAGTATCAATTGAAAAGTAAAAATTCATTGCCAAATTTAAATAACTAATATGGCAGTTATTTTACATTAGAAAGTTGAATAGAAATTATTAAAAGATTGTATCAATGTTTACAATATTATAATAAACAATTTTCACATTAAATTCATTTATACTTTTATTATTTAAATTCAAAAGAGCTCAGAATTATTTTCCATAATATATGAAATATTAAAATATTATCTTTTACTTTTATACTGACTTTTATACTTCTTCTTGTAATTTATTAGCCGTACAGTAATACTTTCTGTAACGGCAAATATTACAAGCGTATATATATTTAAAAAAATTTGTATCAATAGAGTAAGTTGTAACAGCGATATTGATGAAGTGTGAAACCATTAATCGTTTGTCCTACTTTAGCTTAATTCTTTTTATAACACGCTACATTGCCTCGTAACCGTGTAAAATTGTTACAAGCTTTGATAATATGTGGCACATGAAATATAAATTAAATTGTGAAGTAATATTTATATTGTAAACAGAAGCATAGCGAGTGAAATACATTTGAATGATTATGTGAATATTTTTAAAACAACTGAAGGTGTTATAATGTTTTATTACGATTTTATAATTTTGATTAATAACAATCAACTTTCAAATTATATTCTGTTAATCCGAAAATGAATGAAATTTACATTCTAATAGTAAAATTAGTCCAATTTGCGCTGTTTGAATGTGTTGGAATTATTAATAAAGATTTTGCTTTCTATATAGTTAATTAAATCAATTAAATTAATTTCGAAATACTACATCTTCTCGTTGTTTACAAAGAAGAGAATAATTCATTTTAAGTACAATGTCGATCAGAATTAAGAAATTAAGGAACTTGTTCCTAGAAAACTATTGAAATAAACACTTTGTTATTTGTTTGAACTCTTGCGGTGCAGAACTTGTTAGAATTTTTTGTTTGTCCGCGCGTTTTAAAACGTTTTCTACGATACGGACTTTGTTATTTATAAAAAAATACAACTTTTGCAGGATTGTTTTTGCAGGATGTCCTGCATACGGAAATCCTGCAAAAAATAATCTCGGAGAGGGAAAGAAAACTCGACATGAAATATTCTTATCATAATAACGATTCCAGCCATTATCCCGTAGAATATCGAACGAGTTATTAATGCAGCGTCCAGGGAATTGTTCAGTTCACGGCGAGGGCGGGTACGAGCCGCTTTAGGAAACAACCGCCGTCTAGTAATTTCGCGTGGTGCGACCGTTTATCAAGTCAATTTGCCGTAACGGTCGTTAGGAGCACGACAGGTTTGATAAGGATTTAAATCGATGACAGGGCGGGAGTTCGTTGGCTCGCAGAGGGAGAGGCGAGTGTAGGCTTCTTATTACGGTTTTCAGCGCGCGATAACCCTGAACTTTAATGCTCGCTTGCCGGCTAGCACGGAAACCACGAGCCTCGGCTCATAGTCTGGTTGGTCTGGTTCCCGCATGGTTTTCGCAACGCGGCGAAAACGGGACGGTTAAAAATAATTTGAACAAAAGGAATGCATTGGGGGAGCTTGAGATTTCGAATACGTCGCATGCGAATTCACGAGATCGACTCGCGGGGTCGTTGTCTCTTCTCTCGCGTTGTCTCTGCTCCGCTTCTTCCTATTTTCTCTTCCGCCGCTTTTCTTTGGCTCCTGTTATTGCACCGTCTGC